AATACACTATAGTAGTATATAAGGGGTAATAGAAAGTAAAAATATTAAATGAAAAAAAAGAGCAATAATATAATCGATAGCATTGAACATGGTAGCAGAAGATGAAACAATGTAAATAAAATCTAATTTATAAAGTGAGAGAAAATATAAAATGATAAATGCAAATCAGTGATATAAACATGAAATATAAACTTGAGATTATTAGATATGAAAGATAAAATATAAAGTTGATTATAAAATAGAGTTATAAAACAAAAGTAAAAAACAATTTGGTAAAGAGGAAAAAGTAATTAATATAAAATGACAATAGTCTAAACTGATTGGTTGACGTAAGAAAACAATTATAAGAGCTAGATAATGATTATATAAAGGATATTAAAATGAAAATTAAAAAAAAAAAATGTTTATCGAGTAAGAAGAGCAAGTAAGATTATATATAGAAGTTTGTATATCGGAAAGAATGTAAATTTGCTCTAGTTGGCCATTATGAGATAGGTCGAGTTGGTCTTATTGGCATCAGTTGTTCTAACTTATCAAATTTGTTTTATGTTTGACGCGACTCGTGGATCACATTGTTTCCAACTGTGAAACTTACTGAGTCCTAATGTTGTCGAATTTTTGTTCCCTGCGCCACGTTTAGGTGAAAACGTGATTCTTCCTAAAGCGGCATTTTATTGTGTGTGCAGGAAACACGGCGATCTGTTCTAACCGGGCAAGGGTTGGTTTTTTTTTAACATATGCGGGTGTGTGTGATTGTTGTGGGTAAAATGTTGTCCTTGGTTCTAAGTGTCGATGTTAAGTGGACAAGTTAATCGAGGGCGAGTAACTCTATACCTGGTGACTTGGTTTAGGTTTATTAATGAAAGAATAGATATGTTAATTCATTGGGGTTCAGTAGGCGGGATTAGTTATTGAATTACTTAGTTATTCTGTTAGTTGACTGATTTGTTAGTGACAGTAGAATGAACAAGTTATTTGTAGCTAAATGGGATATCGAAGTGGATTAATTGGTTAGGGATTATAACGGTTTATAATAAGAGGCACGCACTAATTTTTGATTCAATAGCTGGTGAACATTCATTAGAGTGACACCGGGCAATAGCGATGGGTCGTAACAAGAAAATGTAGGCTGTTTGTTTGCTCGTGTCCAGCGGAAGAGGGGGAGCGAACCTATTTTTGGTGCGATTCCGGATTTAGGTCAGGGGCCTCTTGCGGAACAGCTTGCTTAATTAATTTGGTCCAGGATGTCTTTGGGTTTTCGAGATATAGTAACCTTAGCTTTCCAGTGATTGTGGCGTTCAATCGTTCTATAAATCCGTTAGCTTGCGGATTGTTACTGGTGGTACGTAGTGGTTGTATACCGCGAGATAGCAGAAATTTGCGGAATTTTTCGGAGGTGAATGCGGGTGCTCTATCCGAAAGTAGGCGTTTTGGAGACCCTTGTTGTAGTACTTTTTTAGGGTTTAGATGTACGTTAAGGTACTGGTAGATTTCGATGGGAATGCCCAAGTGTATCTGGTCAAGTGATCCACTATAACATGGAGATATGTCTTGCAGAGTCCGTATTTCGAAAATCCGGATATTGTATCTATTGATATTAAATCGAATCGTTGTTGTGTTTCGAGGTTTTTGCGGACTTAGTTAAAATGTTATTCAGTAATATCAGGTTATAAATGAGTGAAAGTGTGACTTTCGACGTGGACATGCTTTGAGGTGAGATGTGTCACACGCGTGAAGGCGTCTTTGGCCTGAAAAGTGAAAGAGTTTTGTGGTATGGCGCTGTGATACGAAGTTAAAAATTGTGAATGAAACGGTGTCACGTGAAGTCGCTGTTTTGTACAAAATAATAACCTGTGTCACTATGAATAACAAATTTACTAAAGTCATGGGTGCTGGTTTTACGAACATATATCAAAATCCTTTATATTGTTAGTGGATATGGCACGTTTAATGTGATTTTTTGTGTGTTTAGTATGGCGACGTTATGGAGCTTGTGTGGCTCGAAATTGGATTTGGGTGTTAAGTCGTGCACTAAAAATTGTTGCCAATTGGAAAAAGTGATGTGAAAGGGTGTTGTTGATTTTGTTGAGAGTGATGTGTCGATGATTGAATATGTATGTAAAAGGAAGGTACGAGGGAGTGTAGCTATGTTGGAATTTAACGATTGGAATAGTTTTGGAAGGCTGTGACTTAGGTTACTTCTGTCCAAAACTATGAAAGAAAAGGACATAGGGGCGTTGAAAATGGGATTAGGAACATTACAATGAGACCAAATAAGAGTGTTGGAGTTCACCACGTGTGAGCAACCCGTTCCAGGAGGGAAAAATTTAGTGAATGGGACGGTTGTATTAACCTGTCCATTGGACACGTGTTGCTTGCACGAGGTGAATTGGTACAAGGTAGTTGGTAGGGGTACATTATCTTGATACAGGAGTAGCTGAGGACAGTTTATAATTAGTAGAAATATTTTTATAGAGTTAAGGGATAAGATGCCAAAAGGCAAGGGTGTATCTAGGATATATAATTTTAGGTTCTGCGTTATGTTACCTATTTTTAAGTTCAAAAAGATATAATCTATGGTGAAAATATTGTTAAGTTAAGTTATTCTTAATAGTTAAGTTAAATGGGTGGACAGGTATTTTCTTTTGCAAACTGGTTTCTATTATTTTAAAAGTATTCCGACTAATTATATCGATAGATGCTCCTGTATCAAGTAGTAGAGGTAGGTTTTCATTATTGGACAGTTCAGCTCGAACGAGCAATTGTTCAACAAAAGTTATGTGAGGAGGAACCTACTGTTGTGCTGTCTTGTGGGTCGGGACAGGCTTGGTCTGTTGCCGTGGTTGGAGGATCCTTGGGACAGTTAAAGATCACTGCTTGCGCTGGGCTCGTGGTTTAGATGGTCGGGGGAGCAGGTAACATACGCTGGCGTGTTGGTAACTCGGAGGGGTGCTTGCAGTAGGTTTGGTGGCTTTCTCAGTCTTTTAGAGTATTGTAGTTGGGCCCGATCTGCTTGGGCGTCGTAGTTGGTGAAGAAGCTCTTCGCCTCGTACGAAACATTGTAGCGCGGTAGCTCTACATCTCGCGATAGTCCAGTTGCCGCGAACAGCTGATGTAGCGTCCTGTTCAAACTCCCCAGAAAATCTGATACCACCGGCGGGGGCGTGGCGTCTTCCTGGCTGGGGGCGATTTCCTGCGTCCTACCGAAGGTGTTTTCCATCTTTGGAAAAGTGGCGTTTTCGCCCCTTTCGTAGTCGGGATCGGACTCCATGGGCTTCTTTGAATCCCCCTCTCTTCCCTGTTCCATCTTTCTGTACAAACAGTGGTCTACTTGCTTACTTGTACCTTGCCGTCCACAATCCTGTCGACTCTTCGGACGGGGGAGTCTGTGATATCTTGGGACCTCTGGGACCAGTGTTACCTGATGCTAGACGAACCTCGATGTCAACTCTACCGTGCAGTCGGGATGGAAGGCGACACAGCTGGGCCAACGGTGAAATGGACAAACAGAGATTCCACTAAGAAGCGTCTGAACGTCAAGAAGGAATGGGACGAGGAGGATTCTGACAGGAAAGGATTTACCTCTATAGGAGCGTCCGGCGGACTGGGGCTGAAACAAAGACTAACTAAGGATTGCTTAAATGAGGGTTGGGGCCTCCATTTTATAGCTGCGCTGAGTCCATACAGGTCACTGCCCTTTTCTGACGTAAACAGGAGGAAAGTTACATCATCCAGGAGGTCTACGAACTCGTAAAAATTGGACTGGGCTCGCTAGGCCTGCTCTCCTATTCTCACCTAAGCCTGATTAGTTTTAATCTTAATTTTCTCCTGTTATTCTCCATTCCTTCTATCTGTACAGTTGCTATACTTTATTAGAGTCTTAAGCGGTACAGAATTATATTATGTGATGCTTTCTATTTGCAGCAAATAACAAGTTATATACAGTCACGTGGTGGAACATGTGGTAGTAGATATCTGGATTATTTACAATTCCATGGTCTTAAATCATCATATATATATATATTAAAAATAAAAAATGCATATCCTGATAGGATCACATATGCTTTTCAGAAGGCAGAGCGCCATCTGGTGGAGCAAAAATAAACAAAACATTTATTTAGCCTGTTCCCAACCCAATTTCTTGATAAATCAAGAAAAGCCATCCACGAACGCGTTTCGCGCTGTTGGCGCTCGTCAGCGTGGAGTAGGCTGTATCACTGCCACCAAAAAGAATTTTGGTCCCAGGGGCTTTCTGAGATATCAAGAAATGGGTATTTGAGGCCAAACTTACGTAAATACGCTTAACACATAAAAAAAACGATAAAAAACATAATAATAAAAAGGTGTCAGGTGTTGATATTAAAAATAAAAAAGGCATATCCTGACCAGGAGCACATGTGCTTTTCATTGTGCATTTCTGGTGTAACAGAAATCAATATTTATTCTTTTCCATTGTTTTTTCTTGTGTTAAGTGTATTTACGCAAGTTTGGCCTTAAATAACCATTTCTTGAATTCTCAAGAAGCCACTGGGACCAAAAATATTTTTTGGTCGTAGTGTTACAGCCTACTCCGCGCTGACGAGGCCAACAGCGCGAAACGCGTTCGTAGATAGCTTTTCTTGATTTATCAAGAAATTGGGTTGGCCAAATATCAAGGAACAGGCTAATCAATGTTTAGTTTATATCTGTTCTACCAGATGGCCTTCTGCCTTCTGAAAAGCACATGTGCTTCTGGTAAGGATATGCCTTTTTATTTTTAATATATATATATATATATTAAAAATTAAAAGGCATTTTCTGACCAGGAGCACATATGCTTTTCAGACGGCAGAGCGCAAAGCATTAACGCCTGCCCTTTTTATTTATTTTTATTTTTTTATTTTTTTTTCATATCCCTATATATAGTCACGACCGTCTTTCCTCATCGGCCTCTGTCACGGATGCGCGCGCACAGGGAAGTCACGTGCTCGCCGGCAGCCAATAAAATTTAAAAAAAAAACTCCCTCGAGTTTTTCCCCAGAGACCTAAGGATCACCGTTGTAACATCTACAGTCCTCCGCTCTGCCATCTGAGCTATCGAGGGATACAAACTGTATGAATAAGTTTACCTTATAAAATCAACTAATCCTATTTCTACACAAAATGTACTCATATATATATAGTCACGACCGTCTTTCCTCATCGGCCTCTGTCACGGATGCGCGCGCACAGGGAGGTCACGTGCTCGCCGGCTCCCTCGAGCCGGATTTGAACCAGCGACCTAAGGATTGTAACATCTACAGTCGGGTAAAACACGGGCGTTTCCCGGGTCATTCGTATATATATATTTCTTAACACAAAGCAATAACGCGCCATCTATACATATAAAATGAAAGGATTTGAAAGCACGAATGTTTCTTTTATACATAATACAAACTTCTACTGCCCTTACTGCGATGAAAAAAATATATTGGGAGGGCTAGGCTCATCAGTGGTGAACATAATATAAGCTTATGTCCATAGTTTTCTTGAAAACCATTTCTGAGATTCCATCCTTCAGTGCTGCGTATATATGCAGAATCGTCCAATACAGTATTAGAGCTCTGAGAAGCGGTCTGGTGGATTAAATTGGCGAAACCGCTGGGAGGGTTCACGACTGATGAGCCAAGCCCTCCCAATGTATTTTTTCATCGCAATAAGGGCAGTAGAAGTTTGTATTATGTATAAAAGAAACAATCGTGCTTTTAAATCCTTTCATTTTATATATTTTCTACTGTCCTTAAAGCTAACAATGTGCCATAGTTTTATTAACTATCTTAAACAAGAATATTTCTAGAGTACCGGATATATAATCAGGGAATAGCCCAATGCACTATTTTATGGCGGATTGAACTGGCAAACCTCTGGGAAGCTTACCACTGATGAGCCAAACTTCTTTCACAATATTTTCCAATCGCAGTAAGGATAGTCGAAAGATGTTTTATTTTTCAAAATGAAAAATAACGTGTGCTGAAAAACAAATTTATATTACCATGTTTATTGGGCAATCTCATAGGAAATTCTACTTTGTATTGATATATTAACTAAATTGTATTAACAATCGAGGTAAAATATCAAACCAAGTTTTATTCTCCTATCTCAACACACAGTAAATTATCACATTTATTGGAATTATAAAAGCCAACATTCTTATTAAACAATACCATACGCCGAGCTATTTCCTTATTAGTCTCTAAGACAAATGGAAAAAAAAAGTTCGGTGAATTCCATTGGTTTGGAATTTATTCGCACAGGACGTCCTACTCTATCGACTTGTTCTCTAACTAGACGAAATCAATATTCGTATATATACCTTCCCAGTCTATCTATCTATAATAATTCTGTGTTTATACTATGAATATATGGCATTCACTCACCGGGGGGCAATAGCATCACCTACTTTGGGGAACACTTGAAACTAGTTGGTATTTTTGTAGTACTGAGAGTATTCGACTTCAAGTTTATTATTCAATTAGAGAAATGCATTCGTTTTTAAAATTGAATTATATTCTATAGTTTTTTTATAGGTATATATCTACTATTTTTAAAACTCTTTCTTCGCATAATATTTGATGAAATAGGCGTATTTAAATTTTATTTCATTCTCTAGGATGTGTGCATTATTCAGGTTTTTACACGTTTCATGCAAATTCTAGAGGAAATAGGAACACTTTGTCGGTATAAAACATATTATCGCACAAATTACGCTTAAAAAATTGAGGTGATTTGCCTTCAAGAAAAATACCTTATTGAAATGATAAGGCACAATTTGGAGTATAGATTAAAAACAAAAGATAATAATAACAAATCCAAATAAATAAATAAATATGCGGCTTTTACCTTTGTACCTTGTGCATTTTTACCTTGTTCACCTTATTAGAGATTTTAAATTATTGCTGCCACACATGTTTGATAAAACACATATGGAGATTTCAGAATATATTTTATAAGAATATATATATATACATATCGTTGCAGATCAATATATCAATATATTTTCATAAAAACCATCATTTATATAATTAATCAAAATAATAAAGTTTATAGTGAAATCAGTTACAATGTGTATCTAATCATAGAAAATAAAATTTTCCGAAAACGCTTCATTCCAACAAAAATAAGTAGAATAAATTTTAAGACCTTGCCAAATGTTTTTAATTTTTGTTCTCTCATGACGAGGTCAAAAGAATTTTGTCGAAACGCCGAGATAATAAAAATATTTACTGGCTGAAGTATCTTAATTTTAAAAACTAAGAAAAATAAGTAATTTGAAAAAAAAATTAAATGTGTTTTTATTAAGGTTTATGAAATATCTGCGTGTGAATATTATACTTGAGTGTGTTTTAATCCATGGCCTACTGGAGAGAATATAAATATCCCATGAAGTTACCTAACTAGGAGGATGGAATTAGTGGCGACATAGGATGTACTAAGGAGAACTAGGAAGGAGATTGATAAACAAGTATGTAGACAACGTCTACACCATGTATACATAGCGCTCACTCGGTTTAAACAATCCCCAAGTCTACAACGTCCCACGACAAAATTACACTCCTAGAGAATACTTAGATATAACTTAAACATTCAATTCTATCATTTATATCTACCTCTTTCTTGCCTATGCTACCATGAGATGTGTGCAACTTTTTCTTGAATTCTTCGCTCTTATGTGTAATGTGAAATATCTATGCCAATTATAAATTCATTTATTATTTGGCGCTTTCGTTTATATGGTTTATCATAAATATAATACAAATGTTTATAAAACATGAAAACTTCAATTGTTTTTACTGAAAAAGGTCAATAAGGCTAAATATATTTTGTGTTCACAAATTTCAAGAATTCAATGTGTTTAGTTGACATCACTCTTGGATACGTTTGTATTTTGTTATTTATTTATCAACTACAACAGCGCAATATACCGTGAGGGGCACTTGAGCTAACACTAGTTATTATATCATTATATAGTTTTTATAAAGTAAATTTATATAAATTATAAGAATATATTATACTACTCTGATCAAAATGTTTCGACACTTTGCTCATAAGTTGAAAAAAATACTTTATTATTCTACCAAATTCAAATTGTCCCCTTCAAAGTAGTCCCCGTTGGCCGCTATGCACTTCAGCCACCTTTTTTTCCAGTCGGCAAAACACCTCTGGTAGTCTGTTTTCGGGATCGCCTTCATGGCCTTCTTCGATTCCACTTTGAACTCTTCTATGCTCTGAAATTTCCGACCCTTTAACTTTTTTTGAGCTTTCCAAAAAGTAAGAAGTCGCAGTGGGCCAAATCGGGACTGTAAGGGGGTTGGGAGAACACAGAGGTTAAGTGGTCCTGCAGGAGCTTCGAGATTTTGAGGGCTGTGTGCGCCGGCGTGTTATCGTGGTGGAGGATCCACGACTTGCTCCTCCGTAGCTCCGGCCGTTTCTGCCTGATCGCTTCCCTCAATAGCCTAAAAACTCCCAGGTAGGAGTCAGCAGTTATTGTAGAGCCTTGTTGTTGAAATTCATGATGAACGATGCCCTAGTAGTCGAAGAACACCGTCATCATGACCGTGACTTTGCTGGGAGCCTTCCTTGCTTTCTTTTGTCTAGGCTCATTTTTGAAGCGTCAATCCGATGCCTGTTGGGTAGTTACCGAATCAAAGCCGTAAATCCATGTTTCGTCTCCAGTAATGACCTTCTTCTGCAATTCGCGGTCGTCGGTTGTCGCTTCGAGATTGACCGGCCGTTTTTTTCCGGGCGTTCTTTTGATCAAAAGTCAGATCTTTGGGAACGAGAAAGACGTTGAGTCTTCTCACTCCCAAATTGTCCTTCATTATCGATTGAGTCGACCCGAATGATATCCCTGCTTCTTCGGCGAACTCCCTGACAGTTATTCGTCGGTCTTCACGCACCAGTTTCAAAACCTTGTTCTTATAACCAGGCGTGGTTGATGTGGACGGTCTCCCGGAACGCTCGTTGTCGGCGGACTCTTCCCGACCCTCCTTGAAGCGCTTGTACCACTCGAAAACTCGTCTTCGGCTCATGACGGCATCCCCGTAGAGTCTACGGCGTAGACTGTTTGCAACATCCAAAAAAATTTCAGCACCCTTGAATCCGTTTTTCACACAGAACTTGATGCAAATTCCTTGATTCTACATTTCGGTGACTAACGAAATCGAAGTACTGGCAAAATAGCTTCACTTCGAACAGCCGCTGCTCGCGCTGTTGTGGCGCGTGATTTTTTAAAATTGGCAGGTCTCCAAGCCAAGGGCGACGGTTGCGTTTTCCACAAACCGGGAGATAAATAATTACCAAAATCCAATATTTCGCAAGGTTGTACGCCTATCTACGTTATGGTCTCTCTCTATTTTGAAAATGTTTTTACTAACAATGCGATGCCTTCACGCGCGACAATATATAAAATATTTACGAAACACACTCGATGCTAACATTTCAAATACATACGTACAACTTTATATAATATATATAATGAGATTTAAGTATATTTTGACTGTAATCATAAGGGAGGGATGTCGGTTTTTATATTTATACTGTTACTATACTGCATAGATGTCCGACATTTTAAAAATATTTTCGGATGTGTTTATCCAGATCATTATTGTATATAATTTCAGATTTTTTAAAATTTGGCATATGGTCCTGTTTGAGGGTGTGATCTACCAAAGGTGATAATGTGCCATGGTTATAAAGGCTGTTGTGTGTTGGTTTACTCTTTCTCTCTTCTTCCCCCACACGCATGGAGACACAAACACAGAGAGAAATAGAGTTAAATATACATAATTAAGTGTGTTAGTGTGTATTATGGAGAGTAAGTAGAAGAAACAAATAAGCGAAAGAGGTTTGTGAGATATAACTTGTTAATATAAATAAATAATCATATAACGAAGTTTGACAATTATACCGCAAATGTTTCTTTAAAACGAAAAATCGAAATTTATTTTAAGGAGAAATAACGATTATTTCCAACCTTAGGGATGAAGTATGATAGGATGAATTGTGGAATTGCCATAAGAAACATTTGCCGTATAATTGTCAAACTTCGTTATATAATCATAAGCG